AGGACCTCAGTGCTTCTCCAACTATTCTCCTTAGCTCATTGAAGTCTGCTTTCCTGAAATCTAGGGCTGCTGCCTTGCTGTAGGCCTTTGCCACCTTGCGCTGGATGGTGAATTCCAGCAGGCGATGATTGCTGTCGCCCAGGTGGTCTAGCACCTGCAGTGCCCTCACCAGGTCGTCGCCTGTGGCCAGCACCAGGTCCAATAGGGTGTCTCCCTGGTGGGGCTGTGCACCTCCTGGGTTAGATGTAGGTCCTGCATTTTGGCTAGGAACCTACATGAGCAGTCAGACGTGGCTGACTGCTCTTCCCAGCAGATGTCTGGAAAGTTCAGGTCACCCATGATGACCATGTCTTTTGACCTAACTACGTTTGTAAGCTGACTGAAGAATTCCTGGTCCAGCTCTTCCCCTTGGTTGGGTGGTCTGTAGTAGACCCCCACCATTAAGTCTCTTTCCCCTTGCCTGTCTTGTATTCTAACCCAGAGCGCTTCCGTGTGCCCCTCCTCTGACCCTGTGCTACTTGATGAGGATGTGTATTCCTCCTTAATGTAGAGCACCACACCCCTACTTTTCCTCCCTGTCCTGTCCCTCCTGTACAGTCTATAGCCCTTGATATTCACCACCCAGTCGTGCATTGGGTCCTACCATGTTTCAGTGAGTCCCACTGTGTCTGGGTTGGTGTCAGCTAGCAGGAGGTAAGTTCCTCCTGCTTGTTTCCCATACTACGAGCGTTTGTGTAGAGGCATTTGAGGCTTCCTGAAGATGTGTGCACTGGCCCCCTAATCTCAGCATTGCCCTGGCCCCTGTTGCTTATCTGGGTATTTGTTCTGCTCGTTGGCCTAGGTTGGGCTGTGCTTGTGGGTGCCGCTTGGTTTAGTGGTCCAAGGCTTCCTCCGCCCTCATCGTCCCCCTTCCCCCAACAAGCCTAGTATTTTTCTGGGCTTAGGAGTCTAGAGCTAGGACAATTCCTTGATGGCTTCCTTAGGAGGTGTGGAGGTACAAGAGGTAGAGCATACAGGTAGTGAAGAAAATTGCAGGCAGTTTTTTCAGTTACTTTTTAGAGAAGTGAGGTGTTTACCTTTGGCACAGGCAGTTCTGTTATTTGACGGTTTAACTGAACCACAAAAGAAACAAAGGTTTAATAGCAGCTAACTATGTTTGTAAACTGCTAATAAGTGCCTGGCAATTTGCATTTTATTGTACCTTAATATTAAACTACCCAAAATTCTGTATTTTGTAGACCACAATGGGATAACACACAACAGTGCAGAAACTATTTTGCATCCCTGTTATGATCCAGGATCAGTTTCCCACAGTACCTCCTCCAGTTCCTTTGGCGCAATTACTAGCTCAACCTATGAAGATTCCCCTTCAGGTACAATGACACTGAATGTCTATCTGTATACATGTAGTTCTCACTACAGTTTTTCTGCTCATTATTTTAATGCTTATATGAAAGACTTTTCTTAGGAATGTTTCTTTTATTTTGCCCAAAACTTTTTGTATGTATGTAGCCTGTGACTATTTAGGAAACTAGCCTGTACTGCCTTAGCCGGAGACTGATGCCTGGAAGGGAGAATACATATTGGACTTTCCTGTCTTGCTGAAATTTCTTTGAGATAAACATCAGGCTAACAAATTACACAGCACGTCTAGGGGTCTTGTTTGTACAAAATAATACTCCCTGTTTACATAACTGTTTTCAGAATGATAGCCATTTCCTAGGCAAGATTGAGAGAGGAACATTAGCTGCTGTAGTTAGTAAACTAATACTATATTTGTGATGTGTGGTGATATTGTGCCAACAACTGGTTGAAAATTTTGGATGATGTTCTTATTCACATTGGGTAGTACTGCATGGCTGGAGCTCTTCCACTGATATTAGAGGTAAAGTCCTATTCGTTATAGATGAGAGACAGGCATTGGCCCCTTGTAAGGTTATTGTGCAAACGAGTTCTAAAAGTTAGAAATTCCTGAATATTCCCCAGTGCAAAATGCATTTACAGTGTAGTAGAACTTCACATGTGGCTAACTTAAGGTTTTAACTAAATCATATGACAAGATTTCCTAAACATATTTAAAACTAATATAAATCAAAACTAGTGTACATCAAAACAAAAACTACACAGTGGATATTTATATCCTTCATATGAAAAGTATAAATGGATTATTTATGAAGTATGAAGATTAAGATGATGATGATAAAATACTTGTATTTAAAGAAACACTGCAGTAAGTAGTGTAGCAAAGAAAATGTCTATTACCGTGTCACTAGCAATTGTTGGCACTGGATTTATGACCCAGATACCCTGTTCCAGCTAGACCCAAACCCTAAGACCAACCAGAATTTCTTTCAGTTGATAATAGGCATATTTTATTGATACACAGTGATAGATAAGAGTAATGCAGGCAAAGCAAACAAAACAATCCCTCTGATTCTACTTATTTACCAGGCCAGGGCTCACAGAGGGAAAGCTATGCCTAGCCAGTATGCTAGCTTGACCCTGTGGTTCTTTCTTGAATGTCAGATATCAGCAGATTGGAGCTCAAGGGTGGAGGCCCATCCCTCCCTCCCCCCATGGGGTAGGCAAGATGGGCCTGTGGTTTGTCCTCTGCCCATGGTGGCCTCAGGTTCCTCTCAGGACCTTCTCCACCTCCCAACAGAGTGGGGGAGACAGGCTGGTGGTGTGTCCTTCCATGGTGGCCTCCAGATCCCCCTTGCTGCTCTGAAAATCTTTCCTTCTGTATTCTTTTCCTCCTGATGAGTCTTCATTTTTGGGTACCATTTATTAGTTTCCCTATGCTTGTCATACTTTCTGTTCTGTCAGTATATTTCTTTGCTTCCACAAACCCATCATATGCATACATCTTAATTTGGGCATTTATCAGTGTCTTAATTTGGGCATCCCCGATCTCCTAATTTGGTCTGTCCACCAAAACCTGAAATTCAAGGGGCTTTGCAGCTGGTCACTGTGACCTAATGCCAATGCTGCAGAGTCAGCATTATTATGTATCTTTATGGCTTTTCAGGGAACAGTGTGTTGGATGTCTTCAATTTCCCAGCCTGTTTGTCTGCTAGCTTCAGACACAGTGGTTGAGAATGTGAAACTTTGTCACAAACAGACGTTTAAGAAACCAGTTAACCCTTGCTGTTACCCTGAACTATTGTTCTAATATATATCTATTCTGCCTACAAGCCAATTTCTAAAAGCAAATCATCAAAATATCATTTTCTAGCCATCAGCTATCACATTTCAAATGATTTTCTGAAGCACCAAAGTAAAAATATGCAAAATGTGAACCAAAATAAGAATATGCAACATCTAGCCCCCAACACCATGTCATCTGGGCTGTAGAGTTCTCCATTAGTCCACAGGGAAAACTCACAGGCTATGGTCTTGTGTACTAGGTCTGGCACACAGGGCAGCACGGGACCTTGATCCCAACTCTTGAGGCATGATGGAGGCTGTGTGCTAGTCAAGACAGTGAGGACCTGATCCTGGTGGACAGGGTCTGATCTGACCTGCACTCTGATCTTGTGCCACTTAGCCTGCAGGGCCAAAAAGTTGAGCACCAGTGCAATATAGCAATGCTATATAAACCAGCTACATCTGGTTTTTAGGGAAGTAGGGGAGTTCAGTAGCCATATGCAGTAAGCAGATATGAAATAGTCTTATTGATATTATTCCAAAGTGAAAAAGTGAATTGGTTGATTTTGCATTAGTATACCATTAGGGAGGAGGGGTATATGGAACTTTCCTGGATTGTAAATCAAAATCTTTCTGAAGTATTACTATGCACAAATGTGTGTGTCTTGCTTGAATGGTCTGTATTTAACTTTTCCTGGTTGTACAATAAAAATGTTTTGCTTTTTAAAATAAGGATAAAATAAAGAAATCTATTTTATGTTTGCAAAAACTTGTATCCTTTTCACTTGTATCAGGATTGAAAATATAAGTCAAATTTTATTTTATTTTATTCCCTTACTGCATGAACAACATTTATATTTTTAAAAAATACTGTTTTGGTACTAGAAAATGGTGGGAAATCTTTTGAATAGTTTTTTATGTTATTCAGAATTGGAAAATGCATTTGAAAATGGAAGGGAGAAGAATGATGAAGATGCCAGCCAAAGAAAGGGGAGAGAGAATACATTTGAACAATCTCTTTTTCCTGATGAGGATAGAGTGGAATCTGTCTTCTTTCAGAAAGTCCTAACTGCTGTTCAGAACTGGTTTACTCTCTTCGGCTGGTCTAAGGGGCCGAATCCTATTTCTATTCCCTGTTCACTAAGACGGTAATCATAATTCTCATTAAAAACCTTCCTTAGGAAAATTCTACAGAATAAAGTATTATATCTGACCCTTTTTGGATGCAGTTTTAAACAATTTCATATTAACAAATGATCATTGCATAGGCTAAAAACCATTATATATAGATTGTATTTAGAAGCAGCTCTATTTTGTAATAGCAATTGGACAATCTTGAGTGTCCATGTTATATACCATGTAATAAGTTATCTTTGGTATATGAATAACTAATTGAAGTGGGTGAGACTTACTGTATGTCCCTTTTAATGAGAATGCTCTATAATGCATGCATGTTACAGTTTTAGTAGAGAAAGGCTTTTTATAAAATCTTAACATATAAATAAAACCAAACACATTCCCAAGAAAAGGGCCTGGTCATCATCCCTGAAATGTCACGTCATTCAGTCATTGGCTAAATCACTTCAGCAGGTCCTAGCTATTTTGCTAATACATAAGGAAAGGGGCACTTTCTTATGCAGTTAGGAAATAAATGCATACAGGTTTATGAACTTGGTGAAAATCAGAACTTTAATTTGTACTTGGCAGGAAGTGAAGACTAATATAAATTTAGTGGTTATTAGTAGTCTATCCAATTTAAAAATACTGGGTTATCATAACAGCTCTATAAAAACTAAAGTACTGCATATTTTATACTGCATTCCTCTGTTCTTTCCTAAATGACTTATTAAGGAATTCACCACTGCCAGTTCTATAATTGCTTTAATGTAAGTCTGTTTTATGTAAATAAAAAAATAGAGTTGTTTTTCCCTTCCTTAGTGATATATGTAAAGTTCAGATGACCTCATCCCAAGAAAAGGGTTTTAAACAAAATCTTGGCAAAGACACTAAGACTATTTATGACATGCTTCTCCATCTGAGTGGACAGCTATTACCAGGAATTACTACAAGTCAGTCATTACCCTCTGATCCTCTTGAGCGAGTGGTACAGCTCCACTGGCAGCATTCTACAATGCTCACTTTCCTCAAGTAAGAATATATGTATGAATGATAAATACTTAATTGCTTACATGTCTCTTGTTGTTTTAGTAGTTCAGATACCTTTTTCAGATGAATAATATGCTATTTTAGAACTGTATTTTGACAGTAACTTTTTGCTCATGTCATCAAAGTTTTGTTTATAATTAGGTACAGTGAACTTGTTACTGATGTATTCTGCTGAGAACAACCTTCCATTTGTTTTTCCCAAATGAACTTGGTGCACTGATGGTACTTGCAGGAGAGCCTGTTCTTTGCTGACCTTAGGAATCATGATGAAGGGAATCCTTTGGGTATATAGGGACCAGACCATAGGTCAGCCAGCACCTCAAATTGTGCTCTGAAAACCACTGGAATCCAGTGCAGACTGTGGAACACTGGAGTTATATGCTCTTGATGACCCTCCATTCTTGTTCTAACCAGCTGCAGCTAGGTTATCAAGTGTAGCCCCAGGTTGAGCTCATGGTACTAATCTAGCCTGAAGGTTACAAAGGGAAAGGAGAATGCGGATTTCATAGCATAGATGGTTGAGGGGAGGCAATCAATTGGCTCAGCCAGGACAATACCGTTCTTATACCTGCAGCTGCAGAGAGGATTATGTTCATTATCATCATGCTCAAGGCAAATAAATCCTAAAGGAATATAGCTGCCATGAAAGCAAATCAAATCAAAGTACAGGTAAGCCCTTACCGTAGAGTGTACCATTGCAGACTTGGGCACGGATCATTTTATCATGCCAGAGAAGCTTTTGTTGACCTTAAGGTTACTGACTGTATCATGGGATAGCTTGCTGATCCATTGTGTTTCCATGTCAATAATATGTCTATACCAAGAAAAGATACTAGAACTGAACCCATCCCAATGGGTGGCTTACCTGTGAATATCCTCATTACTAATCTTATCCTGTCATGATGATGTCAAAATCTTGTGATACAGATGGCAAGAACTGAAAAATGCAGTCCAGTGTTCTTTAGCATCTGTTGGGACCCATACATGGCCATCTAGTAATATTTGCATAACTATCCTAATCCATCAGCCACACAGTACTAAGCAGTGTTGTTTGCGAGATGAAGCTTTGTAAAAATAGAAAATTGTGTTGTTTATGTGCCATTAATTCAAGTATTTCTGTTCCATTATAGACCTGTTCTTTCAATACTTTATTTTCCCAGAGAGGCTGAGTTGCTTCAGTAGATTCTATAAACTTAGTCAAGCACTCAATCAAAAGCTTGATGGACGTTTATAAAAAGTGTTTTACACAGCTTGTTACATTTACTCATTTTCACAAAAAGCTGGTCAAACATACTGTATTTTCTCAAATATAAGGCAAGGCTTTTTTTACCTCCTAGTCAGCTTGGGGAAAAAAGCCCTTCATATTGTATTAGCATACAAGAAAACCTCCCTCAATTAATATATTGCCTATTGTTAAACTTCTGCCAGAAGCAGCATTTGCTCAGTAATGGAAATCAACTATGAAATTGATTGAATGCAGCTCGGACTAAACATGTCTGTAAAACACATGGCCAATATTGGGCAAACATACTGATGGGAACTATTTTTATTTATTTTTTTTGGCCCTTAAAAAGCAATGGGTGAGTGTTCCCCTCCACAGGGAATTGGCACTTGGCTTGGAGGTACTGCAATACCAAGCCAGCAGTGGGAGGGCCAGAGCCAACCCTGACACCTTCCCCATGGTGCCAGAAATGCTTGATTGTAGTCAAAAGGCCCAAAATGCTAATGGGAACCTACCACAAGGATAGATTAGTACAGCCCATTTCAATAAGATCTGTTGCCCAGTGTGTACAGTCTCCTTCAGCACCAAATCTTTTTCAACTCATGGTGAACCACTACATTCAATACATTTCAACTTGCTCTTTACTCCCAAAGCTGAGCAACACCTTCCTTTTCTGTTTTTAATGACTTGTTTCTTCACCAGCCTTAGATATTTGCTTATGGTTGCTAGGCATTTATGTAGATGTGAGGCTCTGTTGCTCCTGAGATCCTCCATATAAATTTTTGGAGGATCTCAGGACATGTGACAAGAACACCCAGTTCCAGTTGTGAATGGGGGGAGGGGAGGGAGGCTTATTAGTATATAGATCCTTTGTGGACTGGTATCTGGAATATACACACATCCTGAGCAGTGCTGGGCTGTGGGTTGCCATGGGTTGAAACACTATTGACTCTACTGAGGCACAACTCAGTGAACTATATGAGAAATCATTAACCTTTTGGCTTTGGACTAATATCATGCATACTTCATATGTAGTACTTCTTGACGGCTCAGATTAAGTGTAGTCTATGTTTACCTGGCTAGGGAAACACCGTGACCACGGAGGTGGTCTTCCTAGTCCCACTGGGGAAGACTGCTCTCCTGGCATGGGTAGTACCTGCCAAGGTAATGTATAGTAAACCTTCCACTTAGCTGCTGGAGTGGGAAGGTCTTGCCTTTAACCCCACTTTATGGACGTGGGAGACTCCTCCCTGGCTTGCCCCTGGGGCCTTATGGCTGAGAACAAGCAAAACTTGGGGGCATCTTAACCCCAAGCCTCCAGGCTTGGACCTGCAAGTAGGATGCCCACCAAAGGTTTTGAAAACATCAGAAGCCCCAGATGGGGGTGGAGGATGCTTGCCGGTAGTAGGGCCATGTATGGTTCTGGACTGACTCTCTTGGGTTTGGAATTTGTTATGGCTAATGTGGCTTGGAATACAGAAAATTTTAAATGTATATGTACATATACACATATTAAATCTAAAATTTTCTGTGTATGTGTATGTAGTACTCATACTACATATGATTAGGTGCCAAAGTGCTGCTCAGAAGTGTGTTTATGGAGTACCTGTGCTGAACCTTGCAGCAGTTTGTAAAATAGGTAAAATGCATCAATGCTGGATGACCCAAGTCTCTAGGTACCCATAGTAACTTGCCTAAATGCAGTTTACTACAGTATGTTTATTTCAAAGGCAGTATTTTTTTGGTTCCTTGCATTACAAATGTATTCCTCCTGATCCCCGTCTCCCAGCCGCCCCAACTATGTCCCCTGCTGTAGCAGTGGGAGGGGGACAAATTCAAGACAAACTTCTGATAATTAGATTCTATACCTAAAATATATAACTCATTTATAAATTTTGCATATATAGAATCTTATTATTGGGAGGGGGAAGGGGGTTTGTCCTAAATTCAGGGTCATCATAGATTTCAGTAACATATGGTAATACCACATTGATAAAGGAAGAACTAGGACTAATGCTGCACTGAAGATCCTGGCCACTGCTATGAAGTACACAGGAGATTCACCTGGAAACAGACTTTTTTGGACCTAACAATAATAATATGGTTTCATAGATGTAGCCTTATCATCTTTTCTTAGAGGCAGAGTAGCACCTTTCTTCTCATGGAATGCTAGATGGCATGGAATAGCCCATACAGTAGTGGCATAACAGTGCTCTTGACAGCCTTCAGCAAGGCAGGGTTGATGGTTCAAATTCATGATGTCTTCCCAGACATAAATTTGTAGACTACATTTTGAATCTGTTCTTGGTTGAAAAAATGGGGTTCTACTGATACTTCCCACCTCTCTTCAAATGGAAGAGAGACAGTAGGCAGTGAACAATTGAACAATGTCTTAAAAGTAATATTCCTATCAATACTACTGATATTGCAAATTCTGGCTAATGCTGCCATCCTCATTTTTTCCTTGGCGGGTTAGGGTTGCCTTTCACTACAAATGCAATTAAAAGTTGTGGAAAACATGTCTAGTTGCTGCCTCTGTAGATCAACTGAATGTCTTATCTTTCTAATACAATAATTTCAAAATGTTTTGAAGACAAATCTGTATAGCCTTTGCTTTTGCTTTTGACAAACGTATCCTTGGAATACCCAAAGTGTAGCTTTATTTGTTTTCCTTAGTGCCAACTGTGAATATCTCTTTTCTAAACTATTATGGATGTTTGAAGAAGCATCCATAATAGCCCCAGCACCAACCTGGCAATAGTACATATTCATTAATTGAAACAATGCCATTCCTATTAGATGAAAAAGGAATCAAGATTTATGTTTCTGTGCCTCAACAGCCTTGAACAATATGGAACTGAAGACCATTTGATAGCTTAGCTACAGCAAGAGCTTTTGAATAAATTGGACTATTGTTGGTTGACATTGAAGTGAAGTGGCAATTTATCAGTAGAAACTGATAGTCATTGTCAAATTCAACACCTGTAATGATTGACCTTTCCTGATTATTAATGAGGACTTGATCAATACAGCCCTTGAGAGAACATCCAGGCCATGCCATGCCTGCTTGAAAATCTTTGGGAAAAACAAGTCAGATATTAACATATCATTGGCAAGGTCGATGTCCAATAAACTCTGCCTGTTCCAGTTCTTCTGCTTCAAAGTTGTTTTCTTGTCTAGGTATTGCTATCCTTTTCTTCCTGTGCATTTACAGGTCACCAAATATCATGATAATTGTTGTTTGGATATGATTAAGGACAACCAGAAGTTGTTCATAACAATTATGTGCAGTTAACCTTAGCGGTGTTGGAACTATATACAGCAGTGATAGTAAGATGTTCACAGACACTATGGAGTTGAAAGCTAATGAGTCATTTAAGAATTGACTGGTATCACTGTAATGCCCATAGGGCATGAAATAAATGTTCAATTTGCTGAAGCTTCTGAGACCACCCTGTGAATAGAAGCATATGGACTTCAGCTTCCTTTTCGTCACTTTATGGTTGGTGTACTACACATAGGAGGTTGATACCAATATTCAGATTTCCAATCTGTTCAACAAGAAGGGTGACTTTATCAGTTTTGAACATTCCACGAAAAAGTTTACCTCTGTTGCCAACGTTCAGGATACCAGGATGTCTTGCTGCAAGGTTTCCTTGGCTCATTTCACCTCAGCAATTGTAATAAACTTAGCCATTTCAGCTAAATATTGACCAGATTGTTGCAAGTATGTGATTGCAATAGAGCCAACTTCCTGGTGTATGCAGAGGGACATCTGTTTTGTTATGTACTGTTACAGTAATAACCCTAATAGAGAAGAATCAGTGTATTACAAACATAATGTCAATACCATCCTCAATAAAAAAAAAAAATCCAATCATCATCTTGACATTCATTTTTGTCATTTGTCTGAGGGTGAAACCAATTGGTGTGGAGATGCGGGGGGGGGGGGGGGGGGGGGGGGGG